GGGGGCAATTTATGTTTCTTGTTGTCCATTTTAAAGTTTGCAACGGCCTAAATTTCCATAAAAACAAATTGACAAAAAAGGAAAAAGAATGGACTCGGAAACAATCAAATGAACCTCAGATGAAAAATTTTTTTTTTTTTCCCTTGTGCACTCGTGTGCGCGTGTGTGTTCAACCATTGATGAATGAAATGAGCCCTAAGACACAATAAACACATCCATTTACTTCAGCTGAGAGAGAGTGAAAGAGAAAAAATAAACAGAGGACGAGAGTTAAAGAATGAGAAAGCTGGCTGGGAGGAACAAATAAGAAAAAAAAGCATGATAAAAAGAGCTAGATAGATAGATAGAATGGTGGATAGAATGAAAGACAGAACAACAGATAGAATGCTAGAACAATAAATAGACAATAGAATGATAGAACTATAGAAATAACAATAGAACAATATAATGATAGACAAAATTATATATAGATGAATTGATGAGGGGGGGGCAATTTATGTTTCTTGTTGTCCATTTTAAAGTTTGCAACGGCCTAAATTTCCATAAAAACAAATTGACAAAAAAGGAAAAAGAATGGACTCGGAAACAATCAAATGAACCTCAGATGAAAACAATTTTTTTTTTTCCCTTGTGCACGCGTGTGCGTGTGTGTTCAACCATTGATGAATGAAATGAGCCCTAAGACACAATAAACACATCCATTTACTTCAGCTGAGAGAGAGTGAAAGAGAAAAAATAAACAGAGGACGAGAGTTAAAGAATGAGAAAGCTGGCTGGGAGGAACAAATAAGAAAAAAAAGCATGATAAAAAGAGCTAGATAGATAGATAGAATGGTGGATAGAATGAAAGACAGAACAACAGATAGAATGCTAGAACAATAAATAGACAATAGAATGATAGAACTATAGAAATAACAATAGAACAATATAATGATAGACAAAATTATATATAGATGAATTGATGATAGAGAGCAAGAATGATAGACAGAACAACAAGAACAATATACAGAATGATAGATAGATAAAAGGAAAGAACAACAGAACAATAGATAGAACAATAGAATGATAGAACGATAGAACGACAGACAGACAGACACACATAGATAGATAGATAGATAGATAGATAGATAGATAGATAGATAGATAGATACTGGACCCCCCACAGATGATGATTAATCACATCATTCTCTAATCAATGAGCCAAGCATTCTGGGAAAGCTTGAATGCCACACATGGTCCTGATGAAGATCATTGAACTAAGCAGTTTGTCTGGAAAACAGTCAAATGCACACACGTGCGCACACACGCACGCACGCACACACACACACACACACATATAACCTGTCTATGACACACAGTGATGATCAGTCAAACTTGGAATCTACTGAGCATAAAAATGGAACAGTGAAGCATTTATTTTGACAACTCTAAATAAATCTGCTCGAGGAACGAGATCACCCGGATCCAAAGAGTGCCTCCACACACATACACACAGCTCACACACAAACACAGGCAGGCGTTGGCGTGGGGGTTCGTACCATCTGTGAGGGTTTGGAAGCACATTTTGCTGCTGTATTTGCCGAAACCGGCAACCGTCCTGGCGCGAACCTGCATCACGTACATGGTGCCCGGCCGTAATCCATCCACACGAGCCGTGTTCGTCTGACTCCTCACCTGTGTGGAGTTCACCTCAGACAGCTCCTGAGAGACAGAGAGAGAGATTTGGTTGATTTTTTTATTATTTTTTATTACAGATTTCATTACAACAGACCTCCATTTTAATGTTGAAAAAGAAAAATGATGGCTTATTAATATCTCATTTGTTTCTCCTAGACTGCAATGAGACCAAACGTCTCCATCATCGTCCATCAGAGAATTCCAAGAGTGAAAAGACCCTAGAAATTGCAAATTTGTCTCATTTAGAGTTTTAGAAGATATCTCAACAATGTCTCAAACTGTGCTCAGATTCACCAAGATACCAAAAAGTCACAAGTCTTTCAAAAACCAAATTATCTGAGCTATAGTATCTTACAGTATCTGAGAAACATCTGAGACAAAGTTGATATTCAAACAAACTTGATCTGAGACCTCCAAGAAATAGAACCTCTGAGCAAAAAAAATCTTGGTTTAGCAAAATGAGCCTCTTTGAAGAGCCGCAGACGAGCACTGATGCCATCAGAAAGCACATTTAGCAGCAGACGAGATGGCAATGTGTTAGTGCTGACATCTCTCTTTCTAAACTCCATCAACCCCTCACCAACTCAGAGCGAGAAAGCGTGTATGTGTGTAGAGAGAAAGTGGTTGACTATAATTGGCTAAATACTTCACCGTTATCATAACCGTCTTTGATGTTAATTATTTCATTAGAGTGGGTTTTTAAAATAAAAAATAGCAAACCTAGAAATAGCATTTAATTTGTCAGTTTTTTTTCCTTCTAATATTTAAAGGTTTATTTTCTGTTTTATTCTATTCTATAGCAATGCAGTGATTTAAAGGACTCAAATATTTCATATTTACAGTTTGTTCCTACATCACCTGCCTGATATAGTCTATATATGATATATGTCACATTAGTTTGTGTCTCTGTTTTGTGTGTGTTGTAAGCAAACGTACCAAAAAAAAAAAAAAACATAGTAGAAAGGTATTTTGGGAGTGAGAAAAAGAGACTGATATTGTAAAGCCTCAGATAGAGAAGAGAGAGACTTGCTGCAACATTCAATTTAGTTTTCAAGGTCTCATCAAAATTCACAGCAGCGCGACGCTGAAAGCCCACGCTACACATGAAAATCCCTACTGTGATGGCCGAAGGCGAAATCTGTTTCTTAACAACTGCAACATAATAATAATAATCAGAGAAAAAAATAACCGTAATATTAATAATTCAGGTTCAGAATGTGCATAAGTGGCATGTGAAGGGGCAGGAGGGTTTGGCGTGTTGTCTGTAATTTACAAAACTAGATGGTATGTCTAAATGTGTGTCATCCTTATGGTGGTGAATGAGAAGAAATGAAAAGATTCTGCACCTGACATCACCTCAGGCATAAAACAAGCGCGAAGGGCACTAGAGCACTGAGATATAAATAATGAAGGACTCTCACAAACACATGATCATGACCTCACCACTGGGCCATAAATAAATAAAAACAGCGAGTGTCATTTAGGGAATCAGACAAACAATATTTGTGCTTATGATGGAATCTGCCCTTCTTTTTTTATATTAAAGGAATAGTTCACCCAAAATGTAAATTAGCTGACAGGCTATCCGAGATGTAGATGAGTTTGTATACAAGAGATTTGTAGAAATTCAGTGTTACATCTCTTGGCTCATCTATGGATCCTCTGCAGTGAATGGGTGCCGTCAGAATGAGAGTCCAAACAGCTGCTAAAAACATCACAATAATCCACACCACTCCAGTCCATCAGTTAACATCCTGTGAAGCGAAAAGCTGCATATTTGTAAGAAACAAATCCATGATTAAGGCATTTTAACTTTAAACCATTGCCTCTGGCCAAAATATAAGCCCATAATCCATAATGACGCTTCCTCCAGTGAAAAAGTCCATCACCTGTTGTCCTCTCACATCAAAATCTATTTGTATACAACAATTTTGGACTTCAAAATTGATCTCAAAATCAATTATTTTACTGGAGAAAGACATGTTATGGATAGAGGACTCATATTTTAGTCAGAAACAATTGTTTGAAATTAAAAACACATTAATCATGGATATGTTTCTTACAAACGTGCAGCTTTTCACTTCTCAAGATGTTAACTGATGGACTGGAGTGGTGTGGATTATTGTGATGTTTTTAGCAGCTGTTTGGACTCTCATTCTGACGGCACCCATTCACTGCAGAGGATCCATTGGTGAACAAATAATGTACTGCTAAATTTCTCCAATCTGCTCCCATGAAGAAACAAACTCATCTACATCTTGGATGGCCTGAGGGTAGGTAATTTGTCAGCAAATTTGACCGCTATATAATCATTATAATACTAAACTCTTAAAAATAAAGGTGCTTCACAATGCCATAGAAGAACCGTTTTTTGTCTAAATGGTTCCATAAAGAACCTTTAACATCTGCAGAACCTTTCTGTTCCACAAAAGGTTCTTTGTGGCGAAAGAAGGTTCTTCAGATTATAAAAAGGTAAGACAGAAATGGTTCTTTGTTGAATCAAAAAATCGTTCTTCTATGGCATCACTGTGAAGAAGAACCTTTTAAGCACCTTTATTTTTAAGAGTGCATTTTGAGTATTCTGAAGTCATATGATAAATTTGTGAGAGGGACAGACTGAAATTCCTATCAATATTTGCTGAATTATAAGACTGCAAGATTTATTTGGGTGAACTAGACCTTTTAAATAAACCATTCATAAACCGTTACTCAAAAAAGTGTTTCCAACTTAATTTGCATACCCCATTACCTCAGGGGGTTTATTAACCCAGAGTGATGAAATGTTGAACTTTACATTCTTTGTGATTGTTCTCGTGTAGCACACAGAGTACAATCTGCCGTAAAACCTGTCAGAAACGCTGCTGTTCTGGAGATTAAATAAGCGCAGTGCTGAGTGACACAAATTAACACGATTTAAAAATAAATAAATAAATAAACAACAGCTCTTCATAATGAGCAGAACAAACAATCTCAGATTCTGTTTGTGATTTCTTAAAGACTTTCATATCTTATCAAGGCTGTTTTTGATTGTGGCCAAACAATTTAATTTGAAAGAAACTGAAAAATGTTCAGTGTGAATATGTTCAGAATACTAGCATACCACATATCGCATACTGCACTTGCACTCTTAAAAATAAAGGTTCCAAAAGGGAGTTTTCGCAGTGATGAAAGAAGAACAATTTTTGGTTCCCCAAACAACCTTTCAGTGAACAATTCTTAAAAGAATATTTTTTTCTTAGTAACCTTTTGTGTAATGTAAAGGTTCTATGGATGTAATGAAGAACCTTTATTTTTTAGGAGTGTAGCGTACTGTACAGTACCTATGGACCTAGTTATTTGGCTATTTTATTTTGCATCTAATTTTGTCTAGAAAATCTTAACTGTTGAAATTCTGATCAAATAATTTTTAATAATTTTATTATTAAAAAATGAATTACAAACATTTCAATAATATTTATCATTATAATATTAAGATACATTTTAATTATAGATGTAATGTTATTTTAACAATTAGTTATTATATTTTAATATATTTGTAATTATTTCCTTATATGTATTTATGATTAATCTGTTATTTTATTTTGCATCTAATTTTGTGTAGAATTTGTTTAACTGCCAGCATTCTGATACATTATTGAGTATTTTTTAGAAATAATTGTATTATTTAAAACTGATTAATTTTAAACATTGTAATATTTTAGTATTAAAATAATGAAATTAATGTTTAATTATAGATTGAATTGACATTTATAATTACTGAATATATTTTATATCATTTCCTGTTCTTTTATTTTGCATTTAATTTTGTGTGAAAAATTCTTGCCATTGACGGTATTCTGATCAAATAATGATCCAAGAAAGACATCGCTGTTAAAAATCACAGTTGCTATTACTTTAGTTCATTCGTGCCACAGAAAAAAAAGCTTACGCATGTTACATACATAAAGAAAATGTACATACTTTGCATACTTCAAATTTAGTTTGCGTAATACTGAAGTATGCTATTCTGAATATAACCAGTGTTTGCCAGTGAGCCACTTTACTTTACATGTAGATCTGGTTACTGTTCCCCCGGCAGTGAATCCCCCTCTTGGAGCGGCCCTCTCCCGCTGTCAGTCAAATGAGGATTATGGGAGTCCCTCCCCACCTCAACCATCTCAAGATGGTGTTGAAAGTAGGCGGAGCTTGTGGCAGGCAGCCAATAGGAGCGCTGCCAGGGCAGACAGACACAGTTCTCAGCAGGTCCTCAGTGAGCAGTGGGTCTGTTTTGGCAGGAGGCAGGTGTCAACGCCA